CGGGCATTTCATAAGAAGGAGGAGAGCCCGGCGTTAGCTGGGCGATCCTACTGGTTAAATAAAATGAATAGATAAAAAAGCTTTCTTTCCTAGGTGAATGCTATCTGTATTTCCCACTAAGTCTCCCTAACGCTCCGTGAACAAAAACAAATCGCGGTTTAATAGTGGGAAATATTCACAATATGTTATTGATTGGCATAGAGAAATTTCCTGTGATTTCATGAAGTAGCTAAAATGATACGATTGAAAGAACGTCTCAGCTAAAGCTTTTGACCGCTACTGTAGATTTTCGGCGAAGTGCGAAGTTAGGGAGAGGAGGGGTGGAGGCTCTTCAGTTTTCTTAGTTGTAAGAAATTCTTTCTGAGTAGCAGAGCAACTACATAAACTGGAAAGGAATACATGTGATGAAGTGAGAACTCATAAATGCCGCCCGACAGCTGCCAGACAAACTGCAGCACTATGATACGAGTCAACCAGTCAATCGCCCCTCTGACGTTAGGCTCTCCTTCCTGTTGTGTTAAAGTTGACCCGCAGCCTGAACTCTCCCAGCTCTGAAACCTCTGGTTCAAGAAGACAGGAGCTGCCGATATTCAGCGAAACACACACACTCCCGGTCGGACACACACGCCACATACATATACTAGCCGCGTTATACTATGAAGTGGAATACGAAATCCTACAGACGATCCTCCATCGTTTAAGTGGCACTGTAATTAAGAAGCATAATAACACGATCGCACAAATAGCTTTTTTGATATGGACAGTGTTAGGCACCGTAACATATTTGGATGCGCAGTACAACGGGTTCTGCCATCCTAAACCGAACAGCCCTTTCTAGCAAGACGCCTTGATAGAGCCCTTGTATCGCGTAATAGTGTCGTTTGATGTAACCGCGCTTCATACGAAGATGAACGGCAACGAAGCCCTCCAAGCGTGTCTTAAAATGCTGGAGGAGCGTGAAGCAGAAGTTGTCACGTTCGGATTGGACAAGGTCCACGTCATTGCTCTGATTAAGGAATGCCTGAGATATAGTACTTTCGAGAGAAGCGAGCAGTACTTCCCCCAAAAGCGATGACTTGCTATGGGTCAGCGGCTAGAACTGATTCTACCTATCTGTTTTATGAAGGAAATAGAAAGGTGAGTTATGCCCATTATGTACTGTCGGTACACAATGGTTGCTGTGTGACCACATCAGCGCAGCAGGAAGTTTATGGGTTGTCGGACATTCTCAGCCGACAGTCACAGTACATTAGGTTCACGAGAGAGGCTAGGCACGGCATAAGACTGGCTTCCTTATCTAAACACGCAGATAAAATCCTAAGTGGAAGGTTAAGTGTGAATGGTATAAGAAGGACAGCACGGAGAGCATCCTACTACACTCGAAGTCTGCTCACTCTGAAGGTGCGAAAAGTACCGAAGTTCGGAGCAGGCACGGAACAGCTACAGGAGTGCCAGCAGGCAAAGTGGAACAAGAGAAGTCACATACGCTAGCAAGTGAGACTGCAAGCTCAAATGGTTATGGACACAACGTGAAAGTCAGGCTCGCATGCATTGCGCTAGCGGATTTCGTTGATGACGCCGTCTCGATAATCCTACCGGCGGACAATATCAAGTGTTATCTACTCCGCAATAGGATCGATAATCGTGCGCGTACCACGTAAATGCGTTATTGAGAGCAGATAAAGATTGTACACAGTAAGGGACAGTCTACTAACTTCAGTGCTCAGTCTGTGACGAAATATATGTTGGTGAGGTAAGGACTTTGGGCATACGCGTAAAAGAACATCCAGCGAGTAGAAGGCAGGGACCTTTTACGTCACTCGGGAGGTTAAACAAGCATCGGGCAGCGATTTCGATTCTAAATGCATAATCCTAGCCTACGGAAGCAAGATCGGTGCTATAATAGAAATGTACTGGGAGCGCTAGT